CTCTCCCTCTTGGGAGATTACATTCGAATTAGGACTCTAGACTCTTGCATCCGAGTTGGGCTTCTCTGCTACTTGGGCTGCTTCTAGGTTCTTCTGCAAGTTGGGCTTCAGCTGTTAAATGGGCCTGACTGCGAACCTGCTCCGACTTTGGGCCCGGTTTCGTACTCGATGCGGACCGAACCAGTCAATGCCCAAAACATAAAAGTTGTGGGCCTTTCTTTCTTCTTTCTAATGCTTCTTGAATTGCTCAATTCGGAGTCCGGAATTGTGAGTTAGGCCCAGATCACTGCCTGTTGCCGAAACTGTGCAAAATCACCCGAATTGGCATGTTTCCTTCCAATTGCCTTCTTTATTGCCCTGAATCGAAATACAAGAGTAATGAGTGCATTTAAGTGTTAAAATAATGTAAAAAGATGAAAATTAGGGGACAAAAATAGGGTTCTTTTCAGTCTCATCAAATATTGTCAACCTAAGGCAGTATTACATACAAGTAACTGAGTAGACCACGTGTCACTCTCAGAGCCTTAGGGCCAAAATGCCGAGCTAACAAAGACCTCGGCGCAATAAAACCCATTCGCTTCTACATCATGGGCGAACTCCAAGAGCAGACCACGAGTCACTCTCAGGGCTCAAGGGCCAAAATGCCGAACTAATAGACTCTGGCGTAATAACCAGCCGCCTCTATGTCACTCTCAGGGCTCAAGGGACTAAAACACCGAGCTGACCAAGGAGCTCGGCACCACAGTACATAATGTATCGAGGGTGCAAGCAGACCAGTAGGTTCCACGACGCTTAGCTCACCTCAATGTACAACCAGAAGACAGTTCGGGCATATGCCTTAGTATGCCTTACTATGTCAATCACTTCGCACACTCAACTATGATAGCTCAGATAAAACAACACTTGGAAAAGAAAAGTCAATTTCATTAACAAGTAAGTTTTGTACAATGAGCTCGACACAAAAAAAAAACAACAAAGACTGAGCTCGCAGGCTTGGAATACAAAAACAATCACTTCGGGGGCTCTTCATCTCCGCACGGGACCTCCTCGGGAGCTTCAGGCTGGTCAGGGGCGTTTGCTTCTTCATCACCATCCTCCTCCTTTGAATCCGGATCCTCTGTGGCTTGATGAGCTATCTCATCCGTGATTCGCGAGGTGGTGATGGTGCTCGTGTCAAGCTCGGGGTACGTGTGCCTTATCAGCCACCTGCTGAGCTTGAACTCCTTGCGGTAGGCCTCCCCCAGAACGACATCAAATTTGTCAGACTGGATGTACTCCACGATAGCCTTGATCTTCGTCTCCTCTGTGGCTCGAGTAAAGATCTCGGTCTTCTCCTCGATGTCAGCCTTGAGGAACTCCACCTTGTGCAAGAGGACCTTTTTGCCCTCCTTAAGGCCTTCCGCCTCTGCCTTGAGGGCATCCAGCTCGCCCCTCAACGCACCCTTCTCGCGTGCCAGCTCCGCTTTGAGGGCCTCCACCTCGCCCCTCAGCACGTCCTTCTCGCATGCTAGCTCGTCCTTCAACACCTAGCCGTCAGCATCGTAATAACTTCCCTCTGGGCCCTGGCGCCGCTCTCCAACTGGTGGATCTGCTCGCGAGCTGCCCGCAGATCGGTATGAGTTGCGTGGGATGACTCCTCGACGGTCAGAGCCCGCTTCAGGTTCCTCTTGGACTTAAGAGTTAGGGCGTGCACGGCGGAGTTCGCCTGACAAAGAGAGTTGGTTAGTACCGAAGAAACATACATATAAAAGAAAGGGAGGAGAAAGAAAAGAGAACTTACCACCATAGTGTGGTTAGCAGCTCGGGCTCCGAGCTGATCAGGGTTGAGCATATCGGCCCAGACCGAGATTTCCTCGGAGTAAACAACCCCTTCGCTTTTCCGAAGGCCGCACTGGGGGACCAAGATACTTCGGCCCTCATTCGGGCTCCCCGAGCTGGAGACCGTCGTCTCAGCTGTACGAATGGGATCGGCGGAGACCTCAGCTGTTGCGTCGGCAGCCCTGGTGACAATCTTAGGCTTAGCTATTGCCTTCGTAGTAGGCTCAGCCAAGGTTTCGGGCTCCCGAGGTGGTATGGACTCCTCCAAATCAATGATCGGAGGAGCACCAGGGAGCTCGGGCTCGGAAGAGGGAGCTAGTGGAAGCTTGGGATCGGGAGTGGGGGCCGGCAATGACTCGACGCGAGCTCTCTTAGCAGCCCACTTCTTCCTCCCCTTCATGTGTTTGAAGAGTCTATCCTCCTTTAGCTTATCCACTTCCATGGGACCTGCAATAGAGCTCGACATTAGTACTCGAGTAAAAGAAAAGGAAGGAGCAAGCCAAACAACTAAGGTACTAAGACTACCTACTCGGGCTCAAGCCGGCCTGGATGAGCTTGCTCTCGGTGATGTAATCCTTGTAACTACACCCGATCTCAGTCCACGACTAGAATGTCTCCCTTGTCTTCTTGTCAAGGATGATACCGGGGTCCTAGATAGCCGCCCTCCAGTGAGTAGGGAAGGGCCATCCTGTAGGGTTCTGGACTATGAAGTAGTCCTGCTTCCAAGCCGGGATCTTGCTCGAAAGCTTATGCATTAACTTGAAGCCCGGGCGAGGGGACAAGTAATAGGCCCTCCTGTGCTCGGGGAGAACGCATGAAGCACTCTTCTTTATTGTGAGGATAGAACAGAATATGTCCAAGTCCAGGGGGAGGACATACTCATAGCAGAGGGAGATGGTCCTGACCACGTTACGGACCAAGTTCGGGTGGAGCTAGTCTATCGTAACGTTAAAATGGTTCAGGACCTCCACTATAAGTGGATGGAAGGGAAGGCGGAGCCCGTTTATGAACTGCTCCCGGAAGATCACGACCTCGTCAGGGTCGTGCTCCCATGGGAAGTTACCTGTAGGTAAACCGTAGGTGTACTCCCCGGGCAGGTTGTACTGCCGAATAAGATAGCGGAGCCTCTCCAGGGTCATGGTAGAGGGTCTGAACCTGTCCGGCATCCGACCTTGGTGGGAGGTGGATGCCAAGTTACCCGTGGTCTCCCGCGCCTCGGGGGACTGGACTCCAGTGGGGTCACCCTGAGTCGAGGTACCCACCTCGGGCTCATCTAACTGACTATCGAAGGAAGACATAACTAAACTGAATTGAAGAGGAGTTAGGGTGACTCACCAAAGAAAGATGAACCGGACTGGGGAGAACTGACTCGAGCTGGAGGCCTTAGACGCGACCTCAAGACTACGGTTGAGGATTTGTGGCAAAGGAAAATGGCCAGAAGCCCCGCTATTTATAGCCACTATACACGGGCATCAACAGTTGAGATCGAAGCGATCTGATGGTCCTCATAAAAACCGGCTGTGCGAACCTCGAGGCCAAATCGATTTAGCGCATTTTTTGACGTCCGCAGAGTCCATAA